GTATATATAGGCAAATATGTATACTAAATAGTTGAGAGAGGCCATATGGGAGTACACATGCATACATATATAGGTATGGTAGTGAATATATATTTACAAATGCTGTATGTATACTCATATGTATAATAGAGCACATAGGGGTCATAATTATAGGAATTACTTAGACATCAGGACTGAACCACTGGACATGAAGGCTAAGGACCATAGCCTTGGGGGACATCTAGGTCATTTGGCAAAACATGTTGTTGTTATGTGCTGTCGAGTCGGACCTGACTCATGGTGACTCCTCCTTGGATTTCAGAAGTAGTATCACTATGGAAGTAGATTGCCCAACCTTCCTTCCGAGGAGTGGCTGATGAGTTTGAACCTCCAGCCTTCTGGTTAGCAGTCAGGTGCTTTAGGCACTACACTACCAGAGCTCCCTGGCAAAACATAGTTCATAAAAATAATGTCATACATCCTAGTCTGGTGAGTCTTGGATCTTAAAAGCTTGTGAGTGGCCATCTAAGAAGCAACTATTAGTCTCTTCCCACCTGGAGCATAGGAGAATGAAGAAAAATGAAAACTCTAGGAAGTAATTAGTCCTAAGGACTAATGTTCCACATGAACCACAGCCCTCTCTAACCTGAGACCAGAAGAGCTAGATGGATGGTGCCTGACTACCACTGCCATCAGCTCTGACCAAGTCCACAATAGAAGGTCTAGGTTTAGAATGGGTTAAAAAAGAAAAAAATGTAGAATAAAATTCAAAGGTAAAGAAAAGACCAGACTTACTGGTCAAAAAGATACTAGAGGAACTCCTGAGACTGTTGCCCTGATAAAATTTCTGAATTGGTACTGACGACACTCCCAGAGACCACTTTCCAGCCAAGTAATAAACAAAACTATAAAACAAATAACTTAAAGACTGTGCTCCTCAGAACAATCAACTATGCAAGACCAAAAGGGCAACATTTGCCCAAAACCAAAGATGAAAAGACGGGAAAGGACTGGGAACCAGCAGAATACAAGTGGGGAACCCAGGGAGGAAATAGGGAGAATGCTCACACATTGTGGGGATTGCAACTAATGTCATACAACAAGTTGTGTATGAATTATTGATTGGCAAAACTAATTTGCTGTGTGAATATTCCTGTAAAACTCAATAAAATGTTTAAAAAATTAACTTCACACTTTTAAAGGGGAAAAAACAAGTTGTGCTTAATTTATTCTGACAATTGATGTAGCAACACAGACATCTCTTAAATTATTCATCTTTCCAACAGAGAATTCCCCTCCTGGAGACCACAGAATTTAATTAGACCCAATCTCATTCAAATACAAGTTTATTTAAAAAGTAAGCATACACATTTTGTTCTTGCATTGGTCTGGAGAAAATTGTTATGTTTGAATAAAATAACTACATTAAAATTAAAATTAAAAAAGTGTTATTTTTCCTGATCTGGTTGTTGAAGAGTCCTTTTAATGAAGTTCAGCTTTGTTTCATAAATAATGCAGTGCTTGCATGTGATTAGGTAAAGCCCAAAAGAATTTTTACCAAATCAGATACCCAGTGAGACAGGCTATTGCTTGCAGACTCTTACTATTACCAGGAATAAACAATATCTACACATTTTCCAGATGGAGCACTGTGCTGGGTGATAGCGTCAGTAAATTACTGTAAATACCAACAATGGCCCTCCTGAACAGGTTAGGGATTTTTGTTAACATAGAGCCTCTTTCCCAACTGTAGCCAGCCATGAATTCCTCCCCTCCTAAGTTTCATGGGTCGCACCTGCAGAAATCATTCTTTCTTAAAGCACAAGGTACATTAAAGGTTTTTCTCTCAGAGTGCCTTTACTTATTACTCTATACTTCCCTTCTCAGTGTTTGTTTATGTTTTGTAGAGTTCAGGGGTGGACTTACACTCTGAATTTGATTTTTGAAAAAAGAAGAAAAGGAGAAAAACATTTCTGTAGTTAGTGAACTTTAAAAGGACATGACTATCCATTTAAATGGCACCAGGATCATGAGCAGATGTAAAATCAAAATGCAGACAGGCCCTTTAATATGGAGGTAACTCACTATGGAGGTTCTTACAGAATTTAGCCCATCTTTTCCCATAGTTAGAGGAGCTCTGGTGGCACAGTGGTTAAGGCATATGGCTACTAACCAATGTAGGTCTAGCAGTTCAAATCTACCAGCCATGCTGCAGGAGAAAGATGAGGCAGTCTGCTTCTGTAAAGATTTACAGCCTTGGAAACTATAGGACGTTTCTACTCTGTCCCACAGGGTTGCTGTGAGTTGAAATCAACTTGGTGGCAGTGTATTTGGTTTAGTTTTGTTTTTTCCATAGTTAGTGCTTTTAGCTTAAATGTTTCTTTCAAGGCCTACCAAGTTTAAAGAAATGAAGACAAGAGAAGATTTTAAGAAGTTACCTCTCATGAGAGGAAGAGAGAAAAACATCCCAGGTGTGCTTTCTATTACTACTTGTCATCAAGGAAACAACCAGCGTGGGAAGTGCCCTCACCATGTTCACTGGATACCCTTTAAATCTTTTGGAGGTCCTTGAACTTGGTTTCAATTTAATAAATAAATTTCTTTAGAAGAACTTGAGTTCTGGCTGTGATATGCTTTCTGTATTCACTTCCAAAATAATCCTTAGACATAACTGTCCAGAGACCTTTGTGGGCATGGAGTGAATAGATAGGTAAAGAGTACTTTTATTTTTTTCCCCTTGCCTCTCATTCTAGCTCTGATATCCTCTACAGCATTTCAGATCTAGTGCCATCCCTCAGTTCCTGCCCCATCTGAGGCTGAGTGTTAAGGGGTTCATACCAGGGACCCTAAAGTTGTCTGCTAATTACAGGTGACCAAAGAGATGCAAACAAGAGTACATATGCTGTCTCAGGGTGCTTTCTTTTGCCCAACTTCTTCTCACAATATATTTCTCCAAACAGCCTTAAAGCCTTTGTGAAAAAGTAAGGCTTTCAAGTTTTGGGAGTATATAATATTCATCTGAATTGATTCTATCCCTTGTCACTCGAGAGGAGCGTTACTCAGAGTATTTTCATAGAAATAACTAGTTCTGAAGAGTGTTCAGAGCTGTTCTGTATGAGAATAGGGAACGGAGGATTAGCTGGTCAAATAAATTTAGGAGATGCTGGGTTAAGCAAAGATAAAAAAGCTTATGCAATATGTCTTCCTTGGCCTTTTAATAGGAATCCCTTCTCACCCAAAATTAAATTGATCTTCCTAGAAGGTATGGAACAGGGGAGCAAGCCTGGCATTTGATTGTCAAGAAATTTGTCAAGCATAGATCCTGTTTTTATTGCGTGGGCATTATCTTGGCTTTTCTACATTAAAAGCCAGCTCCATGGGATTATTTAAAGTACTTTGGCTGACTGAGATGGAGGGAACCTATTAGACTGCTAAATATGTTCAGTCTGAATGTAGCAGAAACAAATAAATTATATAGCTGCACTGACATGGCTTCTTTATACTTTTAAGTTAAGGAAATAAATTGCTTCCCTTTCTTCCATAATGAGCACAACTTTGGTTTACAGATGCCCTTTACATTTGCTTTTGAACATTAGGAATACTTTTTTATTTTTCACATGAATCTGTATTATTTAAATTTTCTTTTTTAAGTATTTTGCCAAGATTTCCTTTTGAGAACTCTGTCAGTACATCCGTAAAAAGGGGAAAATGAATAAGGTGGAATGGAGTCAAGATGGAGAGCCATTTTGGGGAGTTTATTTTCATGGAGAGATATTATGTATCATCCTTTCTCACACACGGCATCTTACTGATGATGTGCTAATCCAAGAATATTTATGTAGTTCCCTCACACAAGAAACTGTCAGGATTGGTGAACAGTGGACACAGCAGTCCTACCAGGCCAGAAAGTTAGCACCCAAGGAGGATCTTCTCCCAAAGGAAGTTGGAAAGTAATTGAAGGCCCCAAAGAACTAAAATTTATTTAACCCTAGTAGATTTGAATACTATTGAAATTTCTATCCTACTTGGAGGTTATTTATTTATACCGCTAAATGTTAATTATGTGCTTCTCTGCCAAATTTATATACACAAAGCAGATTTAAACTGCTATTTTTGTTAACTAAAAAGAAGTTGAGCATTCATGTTTGAGACATACAATTAAAAGAAGAATTCACTGTTTCATTTCAGTTTTGAACTACCTGGAGGGAAAAAGAACAAGCACATTGTGCCCAATTTGGAGATTTTTGAACAATCATGGCTTAATATTTCTAATTTTTCAGGTTGTATCCACGCCATGCAAGTGCCCTGAACAACCTTGGAACACTGACCAAAGACACTGCAGAGGCAAAGATGTACTATCAAAGGGCTCTCCAGCTAAATCCACAGCATAACCGGGCTCTTTTCAATCTCGGAAATCTCCTTAAGTAAGTGGATTGTCTACTGTTAATCTGGGGACCTTGCAATTTTGAGAATTCCTTTCCTTTTCAATACTCATGTAGCTGTGGTATCTCAGCCTGTTCCTAAAAACCAAACCAAACCCACTGCCATTGATTCCAATGCATAGTGACCCCCTTGGATTTCTGAGGAGTTAAATCTTTATGGAAGTAGATTGCCCAGTCTTCATTCCACCAAGTGACTGGTGGGTTTGAACCACCAACCTTCTGGCTAGCAATGAGATGCCTTAGGCACTCTGCTTCCAGAGCTCCTAGAGCAGAATAATTAGGACTATCAAGCTTTGGGAAGATGTAATACTCATCTAAATTAATTCTATCCTTTGTCAGTCCAAAGGATTATTTCTCAGACTTGCTTTTTGAAAATACTAGTTCTGGGAGATGTTCATGGATGATCTGTAAAGGGGTAAGAATGGCCAAATAAACTTAGGATATGTTGGGTTCAGCAAAGGTAAAAAGTTCCTTTATTGTAAAAAAAACTTTAATATGCTAAAATGATGTCTTGTGGATATTAAGAAGGGAATGTGATACACAGCATTTCCCAAAGTAAATTATTTTGGTAGGGCATTTCCCAAGACAAAGATTTCATGAATATACTTTGGGAAGAGTACTGTTCTAAGAAGAGCAGTGTGCTCTGAAGTTGTATCCCAATAGCATAAGCACAATTTATGCCCAATTTGGACTATAGGCAGTGTCAGATTACCCAATAAGCAAGATAAGAATGGGCTTATTTGTGCTTACTTACTAATCTGTAGTGAAGAATTTCACATTTTTTTCACCACATCAAAGATTCTGCTTCTACATATGGCTGGTATCTCTCTCTCCCCCAACCCACAGCACCTTTCTACAGAATCAAAACCGAACCCACTGCCATCAAGTCGATTCCAGCTCATAGTGACCCCTGTTGGGTTTCTGAGGTGGTAAATCTTTATGGAAGTACATTGCTCAGTCTTGCTTCCATGGAGTGGCTGGTGGGTTTGAACCACCAACCTTCTGGTTAGCAGTCAGATGCCTTAGGCACTATGTTACAAGAGCTATACAGAATCAAAGCCTGTTCAAATTTATAATCGCTGATAGGGACGGAGTAAGCAAGGTAAGCATGGGCTTACTTGTGCTTTCTTACTAATCTGTAGTGAACAGTTTCACCACAGATCAGTAAATAAGCACAAGTAAGCCCATGCTTATCTTTCTTAGTGGGTAAATCACACCTGACCAAAGGTAAGTGTGATTTGTTGGGAAATAGTAATGTTTAACTCTTGGGAGCTCTGGTGGCATAATGCCTAAGGCATTTAACTGCTAACAAGAAGGGTTGTGGTTCAAACCCACCAGCCACTCTTCAGAAGGAAGATTGGGCACTCTACTTCCATAGTGATACTGCTTTGGGAACCCAAGGAGGGATCACTATGAGTCAGATCTAACTCGACCAACGATAGTGAGTTTGGTTTGAGTTCGTATGAATTAACTGCCAGACATAATCATTGGTGTTAGCTTCTCACTGTGGCCGGTTGATTATGTGTTTACTGTCACTGAAGACTGAAATAGGAGGGATACTTTTGATTTTTGTGTTTTTTATTAATGTAAATGTCTAGACATGCTGGTGATGGTGCAGGCCATAGTAGTACTGGTGATGGTGATATTGTAGAATTTAACTTACAAACTTGAAAATACGTCTTGGAAACATTGTAAATAGACATAAACAAACCAAACTCACTGCCATTGAGTCAGAACCGACTCATAGCAATGCCTCCTTGAGGTTCCAAGGCAGTATCACTATGGAAGTAGATTGCCCAATTTTCTGAGGAGTGGCTGATGGGTTTGAACCACCAGCCTTCTGGTTAATAGTCAAATGCCTTAGGCACTATGCCACCAGGGGTCCTATAAATCAACATAGACAGGTGAAAGTCATTGGAGTGGGAATAGTAATATATTTATTTGTGCTTGTTAGGATGCTGACAATCTTCATGCTTGAATTAGTTTCCATGTCTCTCAATTTCTAGAGAGCATGTTTGGCTGCCTTGTCAATTCCTTTAAGGCTAATAGTTTGCTTTGTTCTTTTGTCTTCTCCCTCCTCTCCTTAATGGGGTTGTCTTAATTGCCTCAGTAACCCAGAAAGATGCATCTTTATCTTCTGTTTACTCTTTCTGTTTTACGTATTAATGTAGATATTGTTCCTGCTTACTATGTATGTTTATGCATGTTTTTATTTAATTCCATTTGAATAGAAGCATTGTTATGAGTTAATCACAATGATCAGTGTAGAATAGAGGGTGATAGGTGCCATCCAGGATTGAAAGTAAGTTTTATGTTTAAAGATATCTTTTTGACTGCTAACCAGAAGGGTGGTGGTTCAAACCCATCAGCCACTCTGCGGAAGGAAGACTGGGCAATCTACTTCCGTAAAGATTTACCACTTTGGAAACCCAAAGGGGGGTCACTATGAGTCAGAATGGACTTGACCGCAGTGAGTTTTTTTGAGTTTTATCATATGCTAAAACACAAAATCAAGCGAACACTACACTAAAATAAATAAACTAGAGTATGTACTAATTTAAGATCTTATTGCTACTTTTATCTTAAATTAGTACATGCAATTAAAATTGAAGGAAAGTATCTATTGGAGCATGACAGTGGCTACTTTTCCCCTGAGAGGAGTTGCGGGAAAACTAATATAGGAGCTTTTCCTCTCTTTTTCAGTAAAATCAACTTGAAATGATTATCCAAACGAACAACAGTACTTTATACTTTCTGTAGTTTTCTGAGTGCCTTTTCTTTCTCCACCCCCCTTATTTCTTTTTAAATTAAATCCTCCCAATAAGTCTCTGTGAAGTAAATTGGGAAAAAGGAGATTGGGAGGTTAAGTGCCTGCAATAGGTCACCTTTGCTTACTTTCTGCTCTTACGCATTACACCAGAGAGCAAACTGCCTCTATATCAAAAGCAAAAACCCCAAACTCACTGCCATTGAGTTGATTCCAACTCATAGTGAGCCCCACTATGTTCCCAAGATGGTAAATATTTATGGAAGTAGAGTGCCCAGTCTTCTTTCTGCAGAGTGGCTGGTGGGTTTGAACTGCCAACCTTCTGATTAGCAGTCAAATGCTGGTAGCATAGTGCCTAAAGCACTTGACTGCTCACCAGAAGGCTGGCGGGTCAAACCCTCCAGCCACTCCTCGGAAGGAAGGTTGGGCAATCCTACTTCCGTAGTGATACTGCCTCGGAAACCCAAGGAGGGGTCGCTATGAGTCGGGGCCGACCAGACGGCAAACAACAACAACAACAACAGCCTTAGGCACTATGCCACCAGAGCTCAGTGTTCTTAAAATCCAATAGATTGAAATAATGATAATAGCTAACATATATGTAATACTCCCTAGTTTACAGAGTGCTTTTATATTCATGATGCAATTTAATTTTTGAAGCAACCTATTGTGGTAGATAGTACTATCCTGATTTTTATTTAACAGATGTGGAAACCAGGGTGTGGAGGTAGCCCATGACCTTGGCCTAGGCTGCAGCAGACCCAGGATCAGTTCCCTGCCCTTTGACTCCTTCTCCTGTTCACTTTCCATTACCCTGTTGTTGTTGCTGTTAGGTGCCCAAAAAACTGTGCAACACAATAAATATTCAATATTTAACTTTTTAATGACCTGTATTTGCCTGTTGAGGAAAGCACCTTCCTAACTGTGTCTTTCTGAAGGAAATGTAAAATTGGTTTAGATTCCCTTGAGCTTGCATCTCTGAATGACAGAGTTAACCCAGAAAAGAGCAGGGCTAATCCTTTTTTAGATAACTCTGAGCTGAGCTTTATTTCTACTTTCCCTGTTATAGTTCTATTACTAAATAGCAATAGGTCAAAAACAAGAAGAGGATAAGAGTATTTAGATTTAGTTTGACTTGATCCAGTTTATAGTTTATTTGAGGTCTATACCCTGTCTCTCAATAGGCAGCTAAGTTTTTAAATTGTGTCCTTTAAATATTGTAAATGTTTGTAATCTAGCACTAAATGCTCATTCCAAGGGCCCAAGTTATCTCTTTAGGTATGAGTTTAGATTTGACCCTCCTGACAGGAAGATACATCCTATCATTATTCTGAAGATACTATCATTATTCCAATTTTATAAATGAGGAAACTGTGATTTGCAAAAGATGAATAATGTGCCAGAGTCCTTCAGTGAGAAAATAGAAGACATGGGAATCAGACTTAGATCTGTGAGACATAATGCCCCATCCTTAACTACTACACTCAACTGTCTTCTTGTCATCACTCAAAACTGGGATCTGCCTAGAGCAACACTGTCCAATAGGAATATGATGAGAGCCACACACGTAACTTCAAGTTTCCTTATAATCATATTTTTAAAAGTAAAAAGAAACAGGTTAAGTGAATTTTTTTTCAGTGTTTTAATTATAATTTTGTTTTACTCTCAGCTGTTCCTGCACATTTAGTTTCACAGCCCCAATTACAGTCCCCAGCCATAAAAAGCTCTCCTTCCCTCTCTTCACTGTGACTCCCCCTTCCCTATAACCTTCTTATCTCTGCATTCCTGTCTGTCCAGCTTTCCCTCTTATGAATGCTGCCCTTCTGATGTCTCGCAGCTGATTGATCTAAGGGGTGCATTTCCCTGGGGTAAGCGTTCCGCTTGTAGGTCTTTCTACTGTTGGGCTGAGAGCCAATCAACATAAGTGAGTCCATTTCCAAGCCCAAAGGATAAGCCAAAGCCATAGTCTCGAAGGTTCTATCAGTCTCTAACCAACAAGTAATTTTAGTCGTGTTTGTGTTTTTTAATTTTGTTCCACATTTTTCCTCCCACTCTCTCCAGGATCTCCAATTTTGATCCCCTTCTGAGTGGTTGGTATTGGTAGCCATGCACTGTCTAGTTCTTCTGGTCTCAGGGTTGTGAAGGCTGAGGTCCTTGTGATCCATCATATCTTAGGACTAATTGTTTCCAAATGACTTGGATTTTCTTCATTCTT